TATGTAGCCTATATATTTTATTATATATGTCATACAGTTAATGACTGCTAACTTCTTGCATGGCTCTGTCTCTGAAACTTTACATTTGCCTTATTTTTAACACATTTTCACCCAAAATGTGACTTTCATAAATTGAGTTATACGGGAAATTCTTGAGACTTTCTTTTTAAAAATTTCTCTTTCAAAATTCAGTTTCTTATCAATATTATTTTATTTTTCTGTTGATTGCCTATAAAACTCCCCACTTGATCATGGGCTTTATTAAGCATCTGTGTGTACCAAGACTGTGTCACTGGATTGAGTCCAAGGAGGTCCCCAAAGTGGAGATGGGGAGCAATGTCTCCCCCTACCCACCGGGCAGGTTGCAGGGTCCTTGTGTTACTGGGACCCAATCTAGTAGATGTGCAGAGTGTCTCATGATGCCAGAGAATGGACTTGAGGACCAAGGAGGTGAAGTGTAGGAAGAGTTTTAAAAGAGAAAGCTCCTGAGAGACAAGGGGTCTCGAAAGTGAGTGGCTGCTGAGATACATTTCTGGAAGGGGTGGGAGTGAGGACTGGAATGTTCTAGTAGGCTGTGTATGTGTTTTTTACGTTGTTTCTACATGTGAGGTAAACTGGTCAGGCTTACTGGATCAGATGGGCTAGTTACAGTACAGTTCTAGAATATTGTTTTTCTCTGGGAAGGCTGAAGGCCTAGCCACTGGATCTCCATCTTGGGATTGGATTCTACCAATTCAGCCCTTGACCAGAGGCCTGGTCTTCCTCATCTCTGTTGTGACTCCATCATGTGCCCAAAGCTTTTCTAATCGCCCATGAGTCCCTACCTAACTTAGGTATCTGCAACACCTGACTTCCATCACAGAAATCGAACTTTCAAGATGTGTCAGAAAGAGGCATAAGGGCATTTTTTAGGCAGAATTTTTAAAATAAACACTCAAAGAAATAGAATATGTGTCCCCAAAATGGAGAGAGGCTTTTACAGACTGCAGCTGGGGATATTCATGGGGAATTTTGGAGTGGAAATCTGTTCAACTTGTGAATCTGTGGAAAGAGTGGTTTTATTTTACAGATGAAAGCCAACAACAGCTCTTTCTGCAGGGGAAGGGTGATGGCCCTATCTTGTCTTAATTTTTTTTTTATGTTGGAACTATAGAGAAAAAAATAAAAGAAGAATTCCAAACTATAGGAAACAAAGAAATAAGCAAATGATTACCAATGAACTCAGAAGTAAGAAGTTAGACTGCGGCTTAGCAGAGGATTAAGATCCCCAAGAATGATTAGGAAGGGCTTCTGATATTCTGTGAGAGCCAAAGTATCCCTCAATATTAAAACATTGTAGGAAAAAATCAGTACTTGACCATATACAATTCTGGGGACTTTCGGCAACACTGTGACACTCTAGGAAATCAACAGTATGGGTAATGAGTTGACACTAGTAAGATAAAGTTGCTTTTCATTTTTCTTCATAGTTTAAATATAGATTAATTTGATCATAGTTCTATGTTTATAAAAGACATGCATATCTTCTTTTGATCATTATTTTAAGTCACAATAAAAATTATCTTCTCTCCAACATGTCTTAAAATAACCCATGTGTCTCATGGTTGAGGCTATCTAGAATATCCTCTGTAGTCTTCAATTTTGAAAAGTTCATACAATTTTGTATGTGAATATCTTTTGTGCATTCTTTGTGGAATTACAGCCACCCTTACACAGCTTTTGCAAATTTTTAAAGACAGAAAACTACTGTCTTGGTTACTTTTTACATGGCAGAGACAAAATACCCAACATTCAAAGTTAAAGGAAAAAAGGTTTATTTCAGCTCACAATTTGTAGAGATTTCAGTTTATAGTTGGTTGGTTCCAAAGCAGGAAGGCACATCACATGGGGATCACAGAGGAGAAATAGCTCATGGTGTGCCAGTGGCAGAAGGCAGCAACAGCAGCAGCAGCAGAAGAAATCCTGGCTTCTCTCTCTCTCCCTTTATATTCTATCCAAGCTGTAAGTCTATTGATTGGTGCCACCCACACCCAGGTTGAGGCTTCCCTTATGTACTCCTTAATCCCACTATCACACCTTTAATTCACATTCACACACCATAATCTAGCCACTTTTGAAACTCTCCACCTATAACTGCATGAGGCTTTAGGAGGAACATCTAGATACAATATAATCCATGACAACTACGTAATTAAAGAACATACATTTTTATTTAAATTGGGATGTATCCCTTTCTAGCTCCTTTAGCATCTTAACAGCACATTGTATTGCAACTACTGAGTTTTTAATACTCATCTTTATCACTTTTACCATGAGCATGCACAAGATATTCTGGATGTAGACAGATTAGTTATTAAATAACACAACAATGATGATGATGATACTGGGTCAGACCTTCTTTGACCCAGTCTTTCTGCCTGTAGCAACATGATGAAAGCCCTGTGAAAAATTCTTCTATACTAGTGGCCAGGGATTCCATAGCCAGCAAATAGGGGGGAAATGCGACAGGGAGGGGACATGTTCTGCTTACACTGCTTTTTCCCTCTTCTCTTCTGAAAAGAGATGCAGAAATCTTTGTTCCTAGAAAATGGAATGGAAAGAATCATGAGTTCCAACTCTAAACTTTTGGAATATAAATAAGTTTTTCTCAGGGCCTGTTATCTTTCTGTGTCTCTAACTTTTGTAACCTACAAATGTCTGTGTTTCTCAGTCTCATCTTCTCTTGAAATGTAAACATAATCCTGCTCCATAGTCAAGTAAATCTCTTTAGAGATTTCTCTCTAGTGGTACAGTTTTAAATTAGTTCCTTAAAGGTTGCCCTTAGTCTAGTGTCTCAGCAAATTTAAGCAAAACATTTCAGCTCTGTAGAAATACAAAAATAGTTTCTCTGCACCTTACAACAACAAGGTGTAGGAAGCTTGTTTGTGTGTATTTTCTTTTTTTTCTCCCTTTGGTGCTGGGGATTGAACTTGGGACCTTGTACTTGCAAGGCAGGCTTGGTGCCACTGAGCTAAATCCCAGGGCTTGTGTGTATTTTCTGAAAGAATTTTTGAGAACTTTGGTTTTCTGGATCAAGTAAAATATAAAACTTTGGATTCATCAAGCAAATTCCTATTTGTATTACTTCTTGATAAATAAAATGTTTTTAAATATGAGATTCACTTTCTTCTAAGGTTATACAAATAAGAGTCTAATGTTATGTTTGTAATAAGCATATTTGCTTCTTGGACAATGCTGTCTTCAGATTTCTGGTCCGGATTATAAAATTTTGACGATGTAATCCTAGAAGTTGTGGTAGTAAAGAGAGCACCTGTGTCTCTACTCACAATACTTCCTACAACAAATGTGTTTCTTCCTCATGCCAACCAATTTTCCAACCCTCTGAAATCAACTTGATGTCCAACAGTTCATTACAGTTCCAACACCACCTGGAGTTAGTACAGACTCCACAGTTTAAGATGTCAGACCCACAACACTGCTACCACTTCAGATGCCAATTGCAGATCCAGGCCTCCTGTTCTTCGGACTGACAAGAAGTTCTCAAAGCCCCTTCCTTGGCTTCAGTAATTTCCTAGCCCCCTCATAGAACTCAGGGAAACATTTACATATATGCACTGATTCATCACAAAGGATGCAAATGAAAAGCCAAATAAAGAGGTACATAGTGAGGTCCTGAAGGGTCTCAAGTTCAGGAGCTCGTGACCCAGTGGAATTGGGATGCACCATCTTTCCAGCACATGGATGTGATCACCAACCTGTGATCAGAGCTTCTTAGTGTAGAGTTTTTATGGAAATCCCATTACATGGGCAGAGTTGATTAAACCATTGCTATCAGTAATTAATCCCATAGGTCCTCTCCTTTCCCTGTAAGTGTGAGTTGGTAGAGGCTGAAATTTCCGACTCTCTAATCACATGGTTATTTCCTTTGGCAAGCAGACACCATTCTCCAAGAGAAAGAGGGGATCCTCTTGATCATACACTCAGGTACGGTTGAAAGAGACTCATTGGAAGTAACAAAAGATGCTCCTGGTCTGCATCACAGGAAATTCCAAGGGTTTTAGGAGCTTAGTGCCAGGAACCAGACAAAATTATTCCATATATATCAGAGTACAACTATGAGAACCAAATAGTAACTGTAAATCATTTGAAGTAGGTAGGAAACAGCTTTACTACTTCAAGCCTTGATATAATCATATGGTACTGAAAACCCCTAAAACCTTACCAGGAACCTCCAGTCTCCTACTCATTGTACAATGCAAACCTGAGAAAAAAACCCTAAAAGACAGAACTAAAAGAGACACAAAACAGGTTGCCAGGATGACCAATGCCAGTCCAAGCCACTGATTTTTTTTTTTTTTGGTACTGGGGATTGAACTCAGGTCCTTGCGCTTGTGGGGCAGGTGGCGGAACCACTGAGCTAAATCTCCAGCCCCAAACCATTGACTGTTAATGGTTTATCAGTTGGGGTAAAGGCAGAGTGTGTGCAAAGATGGGACTACATGTGGTTACAATGGAATGTAATGGAGACAAAGCTTGCAAAGGAAAGAGACAAAGCATTCTTGAATTAGGAACAGAATAGACAAAATATATGGTTGTAATTGGAACACTGTGCTTTTAGTTAGAAGGTTTTAGTTGTGGAAAGGGAATTTGGGTGCGAGTTACTCTGACCTCCACACATAGGCTATGGCCAGACTCGCTTCTACAAAGAAGCCAATTGTGGGATTAAATCTTTACAGCATGCACTGCTTACATACTATTTTGGGCATAATCAATATTGCAGTCTCCAACAATATAGATCATATAATGATTAATTTAAAAATACAAGCCCTAGTTATCAGAAAAAAAGAGCTATGATTATTATATATTATGAAAAATAAATATGCCGTGAATAAAAAACACATAAGTCATATTTGAAATAATAAAGAAATGGAACAATTTGTACAGTTTTAAACTCTCCTGTTAAAGTTTACCTTTAATCAGTTTCTATTTTTCCCCCCCAGGTTTTGAACTTTCACATTGTGAAGATCCTGGCATTCCACAATTTGGGTACAAGATCAGTGACCAAGGCCACTTTGCAGGGAGCACCATCATTTATGGCTGCAACCCTGGCTACACCCTCCATGGAAGCAGCCTTCTCAAGTGCATGACGGGGCAGAGAAGGGCGTGGGACTACCCCCTGCCTTCCTGTATTGGTAGGATGTTCTTTTAGATCTGTACCAAATGTGTCTATGGAAATGAGAGCAAGATATGCTCTGTATGTTCAAGGATGCTCTCTGACACACACGAGTCAAACCCAAAAATCAAAAAATTAATGAATTTTAACGTGATAAAAGAAAATACATGAAAAGTGTAAGGGTCCTTTTCATAATCATTGCAATGTGCATTTGAGGGAGTACTATGGTTTGTATGAAGTCATTTTATTTCTGTTCTTCATAGAAAATTTAAATCACTACAAAAATGTTAAGACTTTCAATCATACATATTTATTGAATCTCAGTATTATAATTTGCAAAATTATTGCACATTTTGGAATTACGATGAATTAAAACATAATAAACTAGTCTGAATAACTTCAGACATTATTTTTTATATGTACATTAAAACACTTTAAAATCCACATTGGGTTTTCTTATGTGGGTACAATGTAACAACCAATTTCAATATGAAAAAGCACATGAAATTCAGTAACACAAGGCATATTGCCGACCTGAAGTTAGAGAATGTTCATTTTCTCTCTTTTTTGCATAGTGGGGCTACATGTTATTCTTACTGTTTTGTAGATCCATTAATAAATAACTGGGTCTATAGGGATAGAAAGGTGAATAACAAGCACAGATAGACTCTCTCCCTTTTTATCTTTTTCAATTCCGAATGTCAAGTAGGTATCAGGTTGGGTAGAAAGGAATATTAGGGCAAAATTTTTGTCACAAACACTGACTCACAAGTAGGGAACAAACAAGCAATGATTCTTCAGCCATTCTTAATTCTTGATGGCATTTATGGTGACACAAGTCTGTTCTGGGTCAGGCCCACATGGATAAAATTGACTTAACCTTTTAATTTTTATTTTTTTAACCTTTTATTTTAACAGTTTTATTGAGGTACAATTAATATTTTAAAAGTAACATGTGTTCAATATTTCCAGTTTGAAAAGTTTGGAAGCCTAAACCTTTCAGTGCAATTGGAAAACTTCTATCATTACAACAGACATAAAAATCACTACAAAACTTGCTAGAATTCATTTAGAAAAAAACTGAGACTCTTCTCATTAGAGGCTTATAGCTAATTGCACGGTGTTTCTGATGAGATGGGATCTCCACTGGTCTATTGAAACATTGATTCGCACAGGAAACAACTGTATTCATCTAACCAAAACTCAATCGCAATCTTTTCTTTTCAGATGGCATCTGAATTTTGGATAGAGTATGAAGGTATTATCTATAATTATAATCAACCTTAGTTATGAAAAGCTTAGGATTCTGGGCTATGACCAACAATCTACCCACTGGCATTGGTTATGAGAAAATGTTACCATTGATTAATTCTCTCTGATGCTGTATTCTTTGATATGAATATGAAATATATTCAGAAAAGCATTAAGGGCTGCAATAGCACAAAATGATAAACTTGTAAATATTGATTTGTTATTCTGTCCTTAAAATTAAAATCAGAAAATAATCCCTTGAAATCAGGTATTTTCTAAGTATGTTGAACCAAAATGAAGACATTATTTTTTGGAGAGACTTCATGTGGAAGAAAAGACATTTGATCTCAGGTCAGATGTTTTAATTATGTTTGCAAAAATTCAGTGCATTTTATATTTATAAATATTCGAAGTCAGACTTAGTGACTTGATACTGTACAAGATTTTGTAGGAATGATGGGCTTCATTTAAAAATTTTTTTTATTATTGCATGTTTGCAGTACAAAATGATTTCATGCCCTGTAGTGAATTAACACATTTAAATTATTTTTCTTCTTCCCTCCACCCCCTTTCATTTTTCCAGCGTCAGATTCATTTATGTAATCTTATAAGAACTTATAAAGTTAATTATCATATATACAGATTGAAACCAGACCAGTAGGCCTAAGAACATAAAAAACATGTAAGACAATTGTACTAAAGCAAGGTACACTTTAGATATATATTTTTAAATAATAAAAGATCAAGTTTAACAGTTTGTAAACATCTAAACATATGATGAGGGATACTGAAGATTTCCACGACAGAAGACCAAATTCGAGTTTAGATTGCATCCTTTACTGGCAATATTGCCTTCTGACTTAGGGATATAGTTTCTTTTCTGTTCATCGACCTTAGCCATCTACTGTGGCCATATTTTTATCTCTGTCAAATACAATGTTTTTTCTCACTTATTTGGATAATCTAGGTAATTATGTTTTTGAAACTATACATTGATCAAACAAAAAGTAATTTTTGAAAGACATAACTGGAAGGACTGAACCTGTATTTCTTCTTTAATGTTATGTGTATTTTAGTGTATCACACTGGCTCTTTGGGGGTCACAGGGTAAGTGTTATTGGTAGCAAAGGAATATGGAGAAAAAAAAGCTATGCTTAAATTCAAGATTCAATACAGTACACAAAACTCCAAAAAAAAAAAAAACTGACTAAAATTAATCTGAGGAGTAAGAATCAACTGTTTTCACAATAATATATGCCGATAATAGTGATAAATTGAAGGATGGAGAATTAATTTAATTAATCCAAGATAGGTTTTGGTTAAAAAATTAGGAAATACATAACTGATGATAGTGTCACAAATACTAGTATCTTCTTACTTTAAGAATCACTCTTATTGATTATTATAAATTAATGTTACAATAAAAAATAATATTCCCCGCTGCCTGCCTTACACGTGCAGGGTCCTGAGTTCAATCCCCAGGACTAAAAACAAAAACAGAAAAGAAAGAAAGAAAGAAAGAAAGAAAGAAAGAAAGAAAGAAAGAAAGAAAGAAAGAAAGAAAGAAAATAATATTCCTTTAGCTCTCTGAGAGTCAAGGTTGTCCAAGAAACAAAACCAATAGGATTTCTCTCTCTTTTTCTCAAGAGATTTATTTATTTTAACAAAATTTATTCATTAGTCAATTGGTTTTAGGGGGTGATAAGTCCAAAACCTACAGGGAGGACAAACAGTGTCAGAATTGAAACAGGAATTAATGCTGCAACTCTGAAGGAGAATTTCTTTTCCTTGAAAACAGTTTTTGCTCTTAAAGGCCTTTTGGTGGATCAAATGAGGCCCGCATGCATTATTAAGGCTATTTACTCTGCTTTACTTAGTGGAAACTGATTATAGATGTTAACCAAAACTGCAAAATACTTTGACACCTAGATTAAAAATCAAGATTAGCATTTGATTAAATGCTTGGGGACCATAGCCCATTTACACATAAACCTAATTATCATAGTGTAGTGCAATATAATATCTAAAATCTTTGGCACAAATTTGGGTATATGGGACCTTCAAATTTTAGACATTAGATTATAATGTTACCAGGTTTCTTCCAAATGATAAAACCTTCTGTCTTTGGCATTTTTGATCGAATAATAAAAGATGCAAAATAAATGTAATTTACCTATTCAATTTAAGTAAGATGGAAACAGATCAGAGACTAAGAAATGAATATATAAAAGTATCTTCAAATATTTAAGAAAAAAAGAAAGTTTTGTTTTATGGCTGGAGGATAATCTGGAGTTTTTTGAAATGTACAACAGATTATAGAATATTTTCCTTATTTCTGGAATCCAGAGTCGTAGATCAATATACTCATTAAAATACTTAGTTTCTCTTTTCTCCAAGACAGAGTTATTTCTGCATTGTCTACCTACCACAGTAAAATCGCTTCAGATATCACTATATTATTGAGCATTAACATGGCGAGGGAATCTCTCAAAAGATAAAATTTTAATTATTGTGTGAAAATACATTTTAATTTGGTAAGTTTTATAAAAATTAGAGACAACATTAAATCAAAACCAGCATAGCCTTAACTGAAGATTTTTAAAAAATCTAATAAAAATGCTACTTTGACTTTTGGGAGGTTAAAAAGGAAAGGGATTGAAGTGATTTGAAGGAGAATAAAAGACAATGAGATTTAGAATGCCTAAGGGACCATGGTAAAGATTAGTTTTTCTCAGAGGTGGGGTAGCAAGATGATGAATTATTCAGCCTGCAATTCACTAGCAGTGAGCAATTTACCTTCTGTTTTCCCTTTTGCAGTTATTATTTTAAAACATATTTTGAAATGTTTTGAATCCTAACTTACAGGTTTTGAGTGTGACCTCTTTTTATTCCTTAACCAGGTTTGTTTCTTTGTCTTTTATGTAATCTAAATAGAGGTTATGTTATTTTATTGTACAATATATTCTTGCTTCAATTAAGAGATTAATCTAAGAAAGTTATTACAAATGCTTACTTTCAGGAAGAGAAATCAATCTTTATTTTCCTTACTGTGAAAAAAGATATACTCTTAAGAAATGTGTAGATTGTTTTGAAGACTGGCATTAACTTGTGACTTCATTTTTTAATTTTATTAGCGGAATGTGGAGGTCGTTTTAAAGGAGAATCATCAGGAAGAATCTTATCTCCTGGTTATCCTTTTCCATATGATAATAATCTGCGTTGCATGTGGATGATAGAAGTGGATCCAGGAAACATTGTCAGGTAAATAGATTTTGTTTTCTCAAAATTGCAAAGGAGTCTGATTTTCCTAATCAACCCCTGTATGCACTACCAATTTTTATCAACATTTTTTAATAGTATTAACTGTGGTTAGGAAAAACCTGGTTTTCATTTGTGCAAAATATGAAAAAATTATTCATTTGCTTTGGTTATTGATATATAGGCTGCAGCAATAAATCACATAGCTCCTTAGAAGAAAGCTTTTTGTAGTTAGAAAGGGATACAAAGTTTGAGAATTTTTCCTAGTTGTTTTGGACTTTGGTTTTTCAATTCTTCACTTAGCGAGACCCTGTTGCAAAATGAAAAAATAATAAAAGAGTTGGTGATGTAGCTCAGTACAAAGGCTCTGGGTTCAACTCCCAGTACTCAAAAAAAATAAAGTGTATAAAGTTTTGCAAGTCACTATCACTAACTGTAACTATACTAACATTCAGAAGAAATAAGAGTAGGAGTGCACTCGATAATATTTCCTTTCTTCCTTGGCCTTATGCATCTGCCTGTTGCCCCTTCACCAATGTTTGGTTCACTTTGCTGCTGAGCTTCTTGGGGAGGGGTCAGAATTCCTCATGGTGCTGCTCCTTAAGAGTGCACACCATCGCCTTCTGATCACCATCGACCAGGTGTCCAAGGCTATCAAACTTTCAGTCCCAGGTTACGACTATGCCTTTGTCTGGGAATCAGTTCATAAATGAACAAATCTTCCTTGACATATAAACTAGCTAGTATGTTATTGCTTGTATAGAATAACTTTAAATTTTAAGAACTGCTACTTAATATAAATGAAATTTTAGACAGGCTTCTGGGTAGAGTACTCCTGCACGTGGCTGGGTGGAGTAGGAACCAGTACATTGTTTTGCAGGGCAGTGGGAGAACTCACATCAGGCTACCCTGGATCTATTCCCACCTTGTTTTCCTTTAGAGTAGCTCATAGATGTTTTCTTTGACTATTAGAATTATTAAACTCAAGAATATTAAATTTTGTATTAACCTACGATTTTTAATTTAAGCAAATATTTGCTATGAATATCAGATCCAAACTTAAAGCTGTCACTATTAATATATCAAATATGAACATGGATATAAAGTTGAGCAAGTTGTTATAACTGCACTGCTAATTTTTGCACTTGGCATAAAAAGTATCAGGTACTAATTTTATCTAGATTAGATATGAAACAGAATTAACATGAAACAGTGGTAAAAACATGTACTAGGTCATCTACTGAAGTTCAGTTCATGACTCAGCTAACCTTTGGGCAATTATTTAATGTATCTAAACTCTATTTTCCACATTTGTTAAATCAAGATAAAAATGTTCGTAGTTTCTTAGATGAACTCCTACATTGCTTTAGATCATTACAATGCTCTTAGATCATTATATCAATTAAACAAAGAAAGTATACAGTAATGAATTTTTCTCTGCGCCTGCTACATTGAAAATCCTCTATAAATGTTGGTTTTTGTTGCCACAAATACAGAAACCCTGAAAAGAATGTATACCAGAAGTTTCTGTGATTTATAAAAGCGATGAAATAGTGTTTTTGATCCTATTATAAAGGAATAAATTATACTGCCCTAAGAGTTCATTGAGGTTATATACGCTGTTTACATAATTCATTTTTTAACCTCAGAAAAAAAGGAATATCTAGTGAAAGCCATGAGGCATATTTATTCTTCTCTTGTTTCTAATGATGTGCTGTGTATGTTTCTCCCACAGCCTACAGTTTCTTGCCTTTGACACCGAAGCATCACATGATATACTCCGAGTCTGGGATGGCCCTCCTGAAAATGAGATGCTTCTGAAGGAAATCAGTGGGTCTCTTATCCCTGAAGGGATCCACAGCACCCTCAACATTGTGACTATCCAGTTTGATACAGATTTTTACATCAGTAAATCTGGATTTGCCATTCAGTTTTCAAGTGAGTGTCTTCTTTTTAATTTTATGTTCACAAATTAAGGAATGCTCAAACCGTAAGCTGGGCCTACCATAATACTATAATATTCTAAAATATGCTGTTTTGTAGCTAATAAAGTAAATGAATACTCGCAATTACAAATAAGCAAACTTACATTTTTATTAATTTTATTTTTCTTCTGTTAAAGATATGAATTGTATATCCACAGACATATTTGACAAAATAGGCTTTTTAAATTAAAAATTTCCTATAGCAGTGAAATAATGCTTAACTTAAGTAATCTCTAGTGTTCTTGGCTTGTTTTGTTTGGCACTAAGTGACTAAATATGTGCTGTTCTGAAAAAGGAATTTTAGTGCAGTGGTTAGAGAAAATGAATGAAAATTGAAAAATTTTAAATGATATTTTTACTTTTGTTGCAAATACATTATTTCTTTGAGGAAAATTATCCAGTGGATTTTTATTTGTGTTTTCTTAAAAAATTGTATTAATCTAACAAAATTTTCAAGATGATCTGGGGAAAGGGTGAAAACTAATAATCGTCAAACCAGTAGAACAAAGCAGTTGTTTGAAATATTGAGTAACGTTAATGAGTTATGTTTATAGCACATATTATAGTTATAGAAACTATATATATAATACTACAACTTTAATAAATCTAACTTCATAGGAGTGTTTTAAGATGAATAGAAATTTATAGTACTGACCTAATTCTTTACACTTAATTATTGCTGTCAATATTTTGCTCATAGTATTAATTGATGTAAATTACTCTCTTAACATGCCTTTTGTAATACAGGCTTACATAGATTTCTCAGTGTTAAGATTTAAAGTGAAAGTATTTTATCATATATGAGGCCTTTATTACTTGACAAGAGCCACCTTATATGCATTATATACATGATCTCAGTTAATCCTTAGAAAATCTCCGTAAAATATGGTGTATGATCATTTCCAATTCCCAATACATACAATAAGGTTCAGAAAGTTAGTTAATTTGTCATATTTCTAGCAGATGCCTGGAGATGTGACTCATACCCACATGTGTCTGAAAGTAGATTAGTATATCGTGTTTTGTACATAGGAAATGTTTAGCAGTTATTACTATTATTATTCTATCCTTATGCAGGGCACATGTGTTAGTTTCCTAGGGGAAATAAAAAGCTGTCAGTGACGCACTATTAGTGGCAATGAAGATCTATATCTTAATCACTTGGGTCCTTAATGCCAAGGGCCCTGTTAAAGGTCACCTTTCAAATACTAGGTTTGTACACAAGTAACCAGGGATAAAGAATGAAGAACCAGAGATCATGCATGCCCTTTTAAGAGAAACAGTGGTCCACATTGGTTCAAGCTATTTTGCCTGTAGATAAACAGGCTAATGCTAAGTTAGAACTTGAAGTAAGGAATGTTATAAAAAGTTATCTAATTTTGAAAAAGCAAGTAGTAATGTAATGTAAATGGCCCATAGGCTAATTATGCACTCTTCTGGGACAAAGTATCAATGGCTACTTCAGTGCCTACCTAAATTTCTCTTCCCTAGATAAGTCTATTTTATCCTACTCATTAACTTATTCATTCATTCATTCATTCATGCATTCATTCCAGGAGACCAGATGTTAAACATATTTATTTTCAATTTATCTGCAATTTATTCTAAATCGCCTCTTCCCTTTCATTCAAACAAATCATAATCCTACACACACAGACACACACACACACACACACACACACACAATGCTGCTTTCTATCTAAAATGTCACCTTCTGCTCCCTCATACTGAAATGCTCCTCATGCTTCCAAACACAGGATCAGGATTCATTTTTGTAAAAGATTTTTTTATTGTTCTATCTCATGCACCTTGCAGTAGTTATAATTTCTTTTCCAAATGAGGATCAAAATATATGATTTACCAGTTCATCGTTCTGGGGATATTCTCATTATGCGATCTTTGCTCCTCTAAATATATGATGAGTTCCTTTGTTTTTCCAAATATCTTAGAAAGATTTTGTTGGGGCAATTATATCATTTAATGACCAAATCTAACACATTTTTACAATAAAAGAAGGCAGTCTTCAAAATTATACCTAACAATAGGAATAAGTCTGGACAGTCCTAGAATCAGGATGTTTTGTGATTTTAATTGCCAGATTTTTATTCAGGAGTCCTTCATTCTCCACCACCCCATTCCTCTTTTGAGCAAATACTTGTTCAATGGAAGACAAAACAGTCAATTAGAAATAAAGAGAATGAATCAGGCAATGCTAGCAGAACAAAATGCAACCAATGAAATGTATGTCACCAAACTTGGTGAAAAGTAAATTTAACTGAAATGTAGGTCACATACCAACTTTATAATCTTCATCAAGCCCCTATCAGCAGCCTCATGACTTCTATTTCCCAATGTATTCATTCTTTGTGGAATTTGCCGCTTTGCTTCTTGCTGATATCGTCTGTGAGGCACTTTTGCTTAATCAGAGCTACTTAAGTCTGACATTGGCACTTCATGCTGTCCTATGTGCTGTCCTTGGTTCTCAGCAGTCAGCCTCTGTATCCCTGGCTTCAATTTGTAATCTGCCTGACTTGTTCCACTTCAGTTCCACAGGGAAGACATCACTGGGTATCACGCTGTCATTTGCCCACGGAATAGTTGATTTTGACAGAGCATTTTCTGTGCTCCTCACTCTTTGACCTCTCTGTTAAGAATCTGTCCCTGCTGGGTAATACAAAGTACTAAGGCTGTTAGCTCAGAGTGTTGAAAATTCTCAAGGAAATGCATCCCTTAACCATGAGAGGTTGAAGTCCACCAGTCTTAAAGGCCTGCATGGTGCCCCTGCCTTTGTTCCCATCCTCATTATCGTTCACCACACTGCTGTCATAGTCAACTAGCCACTTACTTCATTATCCCTCTAGCCAAACTTTTCTCCACATTTCTGCATGACTGAGCTTACTGAAATACAAACATCACATCAATCCTCAATATAAAATCATTTCACGGCCACACGGTTCGGTTCTAAACTCAGAACTCTGGCATTACATTGAAGATCTCCTCAATTTGTACCAGGTTTACCTGCCAGCCACACCCCTTCACTATTTAGATGCATCCAGCCATCTGCACAATTCTGGATGAATAATGTCCTTTCACACTTCTATTTCTTTTGCAAACTTTCTTCCATATTCCTGGAACATTTATGCCCACATTCAAAAATCTGTAAATTCTGAGTCATTTTAACAGATCATACCAGATGATACTTCTAGTGTTGATGATCTCCTAGACAGAATTGGCCACTTCTACATTTGCACTGTGTTGTCACTGTGTGCATATTTTATTAGAACTACAGCATGCCCAGGTTTGTTCAGGACATGCCTGGTTTATGTCTGTAGTCCTGGCCTCCTGCTCTGTTTGATATATGAATTGTATTTTCCCATTTTTGACAAATTATCAGTATTAACATTTCTGTTAAAATAAGCCCTTGTGTGTATGTTAGATATCTATTTTGCATTTGATCATCTCTGGTCGTATATGCTATACATTTCTAGTGCTCAGAGAAACTATAACAAATGGTTAAAAATGAATGACAAATATACATAGTGGGCCTCTATTTCCCAGCATCTTCCAGATGCCAGGTAATTCTCATCTTCCTTTCAAGGGCAACAAGTAGGACACTTACAGATAAAATAAAATTTCCTCAGATTTGAATCCCTAAACCATTCTTATCCTGGATGGTACTGGAAGAGGCATTTGACACTATTGGTTTGACAGCTACTTTGGTTTAACAGCCAGATGTGCTGTGATCTTAATTATGCTTTGAAAGTTACACAAAAATGCCGGGTCATGAATAGTCAGGATGCATGGGAAATGTGTGTTCTTGAAATATGTATAGAGATAGAGTTTAAGCTGCTGAGCTTTAAACCTATAAAATATAATCTGAATGTTCTCTCCATGATGTGTTTGCTATTTGTTATACAGTGTAAGTTCAAAACCAAGTTTTTTATCAGAACGTTTGTTTTTACTTTGTGATATGCTTCTGTAAGAGCAATGAGTTTTTTTGTTTTGTTTTGTTTTTTTGGTACCAGGGATCAAACCAGGACTTTTCTCTTGCAAGGCAAGCAGTGGCACCACTGAGCTAAATCCCCTGCCCAGCAATGAGCTTTTTTAAAAGTGCATGTTTAATGGAAGTGTGTATGGAATATTCATTTCTTAAGAAAACTGATGTCCTCAAGGATACCTAAAAGAAAAGTCAGTTCAGCTAATGTGACTATGAAGAAGAGCCCAAGCAGAGATCACTAAGGACATCACACAAAACTTTTTCTTTCAAAACCTGAAACTAAGCTCTCAAAGACAGTAGGGAAGGACATAGAGTAATCTTGTTATTGCTATTTATAAATCTAAGTATTTTAGTTGGTTCAGAAATATACTGTTTCACATGATTCCATTTCAATAAAACATTTGAATAGATGATAAACTTTTTTAGAGGGGCTAAACATGCTGAGTGTTTTTCTTCAGAAATTAGTGGGATATTGAGTTAAATGAGACATTATTGTCTTGTGTCTTGGTTTAATAGGGCAGGTATACATGCTAAAACACAAAACATAATTAAATGATGATTTCAAGCCAGGAAAAGGCATTAAGTACATCTTCAGCATTTCAAAATACCTGATGAATTAAATATTTCCTGATCATTTTGAAGAACCTGTCTTCAACAGCTGTTTTTCCCATTTGCTTTCACTATGATAAGAGCAATTAACATGTACACACCTATAATCCTAGCCAATGGGGAGGCTGAGGCAGAAAATTCAAACGTTACAGGCCAGCATGGGTTATTTAGTGAGACTCTTTCTCAGAAACAAAAACAAGCAAAACAGAAAACCACAATAGAAGAAGAGCTGGGGATGTTGATTGGAACTATGGATTCACCCCAGTACTGAAATGAAAGTTAATACGAGGTCCACTTTTTAGTGACTTTAATGTGCTGCATACATTATTCTTGACTACAAATGATAT